GGTGGTAGGTTTGTGATAAAGCGGTAGTTTTGGAAAAAAAAAAGTACTAAATAGTACTATATTTGGCACAATTTGGTGTTGGGTGAAAAAATAGTGGTTGCAATTTAAAATTTCGTATTAAGATCGCTGTTCATGTGTAGCCTGTATATGCAGTGGTTACAAAAAAGGGTACTAAATTGTACGAAATATACTAAATGGTACTAAAGTTGGCCTTGATTGAAAGGAATGGAGACAAAATTCTGAAATTTGATATTAAGATTATGGATTGTGTCTTTGTTTGAGATTTGGCGCTGGTTTGGAAATGTGTTCTATATTAGTACGAAAAGTACTACACGGTACTAAATTTGGTACTTGATGAAAGGATAGTTGTGGAATCTTCGAATTTGATATAATTGCTAAATGTTGGTGTCTGTAATTAAGATATGAAGGTGATTTTAGAAATGTGTACTATAATTGTAAGAAAGGTACTGAATGGTACTATATTTGGTATTTGGTGAGGAGATAGGATTGGAATTCTCAAATTTGGTATAGATATGTGACTCTTGGTATCTGTGTTTAAGAACTGAAAACGATTTTGGAAATTTGTAATTAAGGTTCGAAAAGTACCAAGTGGTACTAAATTGGCTATTTGGTGATGGGCTAAAGCTGAAATTCCAAAGTTTGATATTTAGGTCTTTGTTGAATTCGCTCTTGGCGGATTTGTTAGAGATACCATTTTGAACTTTGATATTTAGATAACTATTGGTATCTGAGGCTGAGATGTACGAAAAGTACTAAATGGTACTAATTTTGGTATGGGTGAAGGGATGGAGCTATAATCTCGAAATTTGATATTAAGGTCTCTGTTGGTATCTGAAATTGAGATATGTAAATGGTTTTGGAAATGTGTACTATAATTGTAGGAAAAGTTCTAAATAGTATTAAATTTGGCATTGGGTGAAGGAATAGAGGTGAAGTCCTGAAATTTGGTATAGATGTGACTCCTGGTGTCTGTGTTTAAGATATTTTGGAAATTTGTCCTATATTTGTTCGAAAAGTACCAAGTGGTACTAAATTGGGTATTTGGAGCTGGAATCCCGAAATTTGATGTTGAGTGATTTTGAAACAATTGTATGAAAAGTAGTAAATGGTATTAAATTTTGTCTTTGATGAAAGGTTAGAGATACCATTTCTGAGGCTGAGATTTGGTTATGGTTTAGAATCTTGTCCTATATTTGTACGGAAAGTACTAAATGGTACTGAAATTGGGTTTGGGTAAAAGAATAGACCTGTAATCCCGAAATTTGATATTGAGGTCTCTGTTGGTATCTGGAATTGAGACATGCATTTTTTTTTTTTTTTTTTTTTTTTGGAAATGTGTACTATTGTTGTACGAAAAGTAAAAAATGTTACTAAATGTGGTATCGTGTGAAGGAATGGAGCTTAAATCCTGAAATTTGATATTGAATTCTCCTTGGGATTGAGTTATGAAGTTGGTCTTGGAAATGTGTTCTATAATAGTACGAAAGTTTTAAATAGCAATAGTTTTAAATAGCACTAAATTTTGTATTGGTGGAAATTACATTCTGCAATCCGAAAATTTATATTGAGGTCACAGTTTCTAGGATTTACATATGGAGACGTTGAAATTGTTTCGGACACCAAAATTAGAGGTGGTTCCATTGTGCAATGGTGTTTCTAATATTCTCCTCCTTCCTTTAGCTTCCGAACGCCATGAAGTATGTGGAAAAATTTCACTCAAATATATTTTAGAGCCGTTGAATTTTTGATATGATACGGTCCATGGTCCAAGCTAAATTATTCACCGGAATACGTATTTGAAATTCCTCATGGGTACTACAGTCTATGACAGAAACTTGTCTATGCATGTTCAGGTCTTCGTATAGCCCCCATACAACGGCGCTCTTCTGTATTTGGTACTTTGCAGATTTCAACGACATTATGCACCAGAATGGTTTCAAATTTCGTATTAGCCCGTAGTAATGGGTACTACAGTCTACGATAAAAAAATTTTCTATGCAGGTACGGGTCTTCGTATAGCCCCTATATTACGGTACCTCCTTACATTCGATATATTATTGTTTTTTTGCGACATTATTCACCGGAATTGTTTCAAGTTTCGTATTTCAATACAAAAATTGCCTATGCATATCCACGTTTTCGTATGGACCCCAATATAACGGTAAACTCAATATTTAAGAAGTTATGACCATTTTAAAATATTCAATAATTCATGCTTTAAAAAGTGATCATAAATAATAGCTAAAAACGCCGAAATGTCAATATTTAAGGAGTTATAACCATTTAAAAATATTCAATAATTCATGCCTAGAAAAGTGATCACAAATAATAGCTAAAAACACCGAAAACTCAATATATAAGGGGTTATGACCATTTTAAAATATTCAATAATTCATGCTTTAAAAAGTGATCGTAAATAATAGCTAAAAACGCCGAAATGTCGATATTTAAGAAGTTATGGCCATTTTATAATATTCAATAATTCACACCTAGAAAAGTGATCACAAATAATAGCTAAAAACGCCGAAATGTCAATATTTAAGGAGTTATGACCATTTTAAAATATCCAATAATTCATACCTAGAAAAGTGATCACAAATAATAACTAAAATCGCTGAAAACTCAATATTTAAGGAGTTATAACCATTTAAAAATATTCAATAATTCATGCCTAGAAAAGTGATCACAAATAATAGCTAAAATCGCCGAAAATCAATATTTAAGGAGTTATAACCATTTAAAAATATTCAATAATTCATGCCTAGAAAAGTGATCACAAATAATAGCTAAAAACACCGAAAACTCAATATTTAAGGAGTTATGGCCATTTTAAAATATTCAATAATTCATGCCTAGAAAAGTGATCACAAATAATAGCTAAAATCGCCGAAAACTCAATATTTAAGGAGTTATGGCCATTTTAAAATATTCAATAATTCATGCCTAGAAAAGTGATCACAAATAATAGCTAAAAACACCGAAAACTCAATATATAAGGGGTTATGACCATTTTAAAATATTCAATAATTCATGCTTTAAAAAGTGATCGTAAATAATAGCTAAAAACGCCGAAATGTCGATATTTAAGAAGTTATGGCCATTTTATAATATTCAATAATTCACACCTAGAAAAGTGATCACAAATAATAGCTAAAAACGCCGAAATGTCAATATTTAAGGAGTTATGACCATTTTAAAATATCCAATAATTCATACCTAGAAAAGTGATCACAAATAATAACTAAAATCGCTGAAAACTCAATATTTAAGGAGTTATAACCATTTAAAAATATTCAATAATTCATGCCTAGAAAAGTGATCACAAATAATAGCTAAAATCGCCGAAAATCAATATTTAAGGAGTTATAACCATTTAAAAATATTCAATAATTCATGCCTAGAAAAGTGATCACAAATAATAGCTAAAAACACCGAAAACTCAATATATAAGGGGTTATGACCATTTTAAAATATTCAATAATTCATGCCTAGAAAAGTGATCACAAATAATAGCTAAAATCGCCGAAAACTCAATATTTAAGGAGTTATGGCCATTTTAAAATATTCAATAATTCATGCCTAGAAAAGTGATCACAAATAATAGCTAAAATCGCCGAAAATCAATATTTAAGGAGTTATAACCATTTAAAAATATTCAATAATTCATGCCTAGAAAAGTGATCACAAATAATAGCTAAACACACCGAAAACTCAATATTTAAGGAGTTATGGCCATTTTAAAATATTCAATAATTCATGCTTTAAAAAGTGATCACAAATAATAGCTAAAATCGCCGAAAACTCAATATTTAAGGAGTTATGGCCATTTTAAAATATTCAATAATTCATGCCTAGAAGTGATCACAAATAATAGCTAAAAACGCCGAAAACTCAATATTTAAGGAGTTATGGCCATTTTAAAATACTCAATAATTCATGCTTTAAAAAGTGATCACAAATAATAGCTAAAATCGCCGAAAACTCAATATTTAAGGAGTTATGGCCATTTTAAAATATTCAATAATTCATGCCTAGAAGTGATCACAAATAATAGCTAAAAACGCCGAAAACTCAATATTTAAGGAGTTATGGCCATTTTAAAATATTCAATAATTCATGCTTTAAAAGTGATCACAAATAATAGCTAAAATCGCCGAAAACTCAATATTTAAGGAGTTATGGCCATTTTAAAATATTCAATAATTCATGCCTAAAAAAGTGATCACAAATAATAGCTAAAAACACCGAAAACTAAATATTTAGGGAGTTATAACCATTTTAAAATATTCAATAATTCATGCTTTATTTAAGGAATTATGGCCATTTTAAAATATTCAATAATTCATGCTTAAAAAAGTGATGACAAATAAAACGGTTTTTTTAATTTCCACATTCGTTCCATTTGGTCGAGGGTATTCAAAGTTCTCCACGACCGAACTTACAGCTTGTCTTCAACTTTTACTTGTCTTCATTAAATATTGGCCTTGAAATATTTACCGCCTAAAAAATTCGAAAAATTGCTCGAACATATATCCCCTATATAATTATACCAGGCAACTTCTAAAATTCCGAAAAAACGCTAAATAATGTTTTTATGTTTTTTACATCTTTATTGAATTTTCTTTTTATTTTTTACTTTACAATACAAACAGTTTTTATTTCAAATAATTTTTTTTTGTTAATGATTCTGGTTTAGTTACATTGTTTATTTTATTTTTTTTTTTTTTGTTTTTCTCTCTTAATATTGATGTTTTTTTTTTTTGCTTGGGGTCTATTAGTGATGTTAGTTACAAATCTATTTTTAAATTTTCTTTGCTTGGTTCTTTTTTTAATTTTGCATCTAAGTCTAAAGCATTGTACAATACATTTATATATTTTTTGTTAATTTATGAGATTTTTTTTATTATTTTTTGGGCTTTAAAAAAATATAGAAAAATGATTTTTTTGGAAAAATGTCATTCTAACGGAAGAGGGTTCCATTTTATTTATTTTTTTTATTTTAATTTTTTTAATAAAATTCTTTTGGAGCCACTGTTAGATTATCTCAAAATCCCTCTTCATTTCATTTTATTGCAATATTAAATCTAAATGGTTTTTGTTGTTATTTTTTCATTTCACAAAGGTGGGCTAAAGGTTTCTTTTCTATTAAAAGGTCATCTATAGTTAAAATTAAGTGTTTTGTTATTTCTCAATCTCAAAAATCTTCTAACATCCATTTTTTTGCTCTGCTATACCCAATAAAATCTGACATTTAACAAAAAATATATACCCAACACCAATATATTTCCGTTTTTTTTTTTTTATTTTCCATAAAGCTTTTGTTTATTGTACCAAAGATTAGGAAGGGAGAAAAGGAAAAGCTTTTACCAAAAAAAAAAACAATGACTGGATATCAAAGCTAGCTACTTAGTTACACCCCGGTACAGGGGTGTCGTTTTAATTTTTTGGAAATATTTTTCCATCGATTTTTTTTTTTTAAATGACAATTAGTTTCTTATTTTACTTTTAACAAATTTTGAAATTTTGTATTCCTTTTTCTCCCAACACCCAATAAATTGGTTTTGTGTTTCAATTCCATCTGTTCCTTAAGTTTTATTGTTCGCCCTTCTCCAATTTATCCAAACTGTTGAAGATGATGCTATAGACGGTGTCCATTAGTTTTGTCCAGGCTTGAATTTGTTTCTCATTTAAATTACAGGCCGCCGTCAGAACTTCAAGGATGACTTCCTTCAATTCCTGGAGAGAAATAACAACAACAAAATTTAAAATTAATTTAAAAAAATGAGAATTTTTTTGTTTGCGAACTCACATTAAATGACTTCTTCTCGATTTGCCGATTGAAATGCGATGTGGCAATTTTCGACCAGGTCTCCTCCAATTTAGGCCCCGCCCAATCGTGTCCCAACATTTGTATCGACTCATCGAAGACCTTGATAATTCGACTAGCATGGGCTCTGAAGCGGGCATTGGTCTGAAAAAGAGGAATAAAAAAATAGATATTAAAAAGGTGAACAAAATTTCAGCTTTACCCACTCGCACTAAAGCAAACTATTCCAGATTTAGTACCATTAAGTACAGTTCGCACACTTAGTACACATTTCTAAAACCAGCTCTATATATCAAATCCAGATACCAAGAGAGACCTCAATACCAAATTTGAGGATTCCAACTCTATTTCTTCACCCAATACCAAATTTAGTACAATTTAATACTTTTCGTACAGATATAGGACGACATTCCAAAAAACACCTCCATATCTCAATCCCACATGCCAAAACAGACCTCAATATTAAATATGAGGATTCCAGCCCTATTCATTCACCCACTACCATATGTAGTGAATTTTAATACTTTCCGAATTGAAGTAGGCATTTCCAAAACCACCTCCATGTCTTAACCACACACACACACACTAAAAGCGACATCTGTATCAAATTTCAGGATTTCAAAACTATTTCTTCACCCGATAACAAATTAAGTACTTTTCGTGTAATTTTAGTACAGATTTCCAAAACCCCCTCCAAATCTTAATACAAGATACCGACAGAGATCTCAATAGTAAATTTTAGGATTCCAGCCCGGTTCCCTTACCCATTACTAAGTATAGTACTTTTCATACAATTACGAAACCACTATCATATCTCAAGTCCAGATGCCAACAGAGACCTCCATTTAACCGGTACCAAATTTAGTACCATTCAGTACTTCTGGTACAAATATGGGACGCATGCCAAATCCACTGCCCAATCTCAAACACAGATACCATCAGTATTCTAAATATCAATTTTCAGAATTGTATCTCTATCCCATCATCCAATAGCCAATTGTACTCAATTTGTTTTATAATTGAAATGTGAAACTTCGTTTTTTGCAGGATATAGGGCAAGAAGAACACATTTAGGATTAATATAGAATCTCACATGGGTTTATGCAAATTCCTGCAGTGTAAAGTCACTTAATGTATAATTATCCTCATTCTAATTTTCGGTACCTTCTATAGTACGAAAACAGCGACATGTCCTCCCTACCTGTAGGATATTCAATGGCATATCTAATTTTGTAGAAATTTCCGGATTCAAACATAACTAAGGACCCACATTTATATGTACTTACACTTAATTCATCTAGTGGCAGATCCTTAAACGCTGAGAACTTTTGTAAATTGGACGGATATCTTTTAAAGAATAACATTAAGATGGCTGATCCAGATTCCGTGGGATTGGCTGCGGGGATGTCCCACGTTCTCTTGATTTCCAGGACTTCGTCGGTGTTCATGATGATGATAAAAGTTCTCTTATTGGGCGATAAAGTTGAGAGAGAAATTCAAGAGATAAAGCTGCAATGAAAAGAAGCGCAAAATAAAAAAAAAGACGTTAATAAATATCCAAACATTATTAAATATTAAATTATTATTAAATATTATATTATAATTAATAATAATATTATTATTATTATATAATAATTATTATTATTATTATT